ACTATACCGCACGTCTTTAGGCGCTGCTACGGCCGAGAAACCTGGCCCGCTCGAGGTTGGCCCAGAATTCGGGACGCTTGCCGGTCCGGCATCAAGAAGAGATCTGATTGGTCAACAATCTGAACCCGACAGCCAAACATGACCAAGTATTGGCCAAATGCCGGATGCCAATGACGCATCCAGAACGCATCAGAAATTCCAGAAAGTTATAGCCGCTTACGCTATATATTCGAAGCGCTGTACAACTGTTCTTGACTTCGTTTTGAGCGTTAATAGACCTTGTGCACCTTTGGTGGTTGTTTTGACGTGAACGCTAGCTTGAGAGGCTCAGACCGAGAACTAAGCTGAGGAAAATAGCGTTGCTACACCGTGAGCATGTGGATTAAGCGTGGCAAAATGTGAATTGAGCTATTCTAGCGGCTTCCAGTGCTGCCTGCCCGACTTCTCCAATTCGCACACAAGATCACTGGATGTCGTCAAGGTCGTTATCCATGATTGCTGCCAGGAAAGCCATACCAGCAGGCAACGAGTACGACGGCGCACGCAAATCCCTCAAACGCCAAGTAGTGAAGAGCCTTAGGGAAGACCGAGAGCTCTGGTGGACATCGAAAGCTCGGGAGATGGAGAAGGCTTTCGCTACGGGAAACAGCATTGCCCTGTCTCACCTGATACGATCGATTGGCACTGGGAAAGTAACGGTCAGTGAGAAAGATGGCTGAATAATTCACTCGCAAAAAAATGGGCCGAACACTTCGAAGAGCAGTTAAGCTGGCCTCCTGCAACGCAGCCGGTGGAGATAATGCAAACCCTGATCGGCCAACACAAGAGGAAATAAGGTAACAAATAGCGGTACTGAAACGTGAGGAGGCACCAGGACAGGATGGTCTGTATCCAGTCGTCTTCAAAGAAGGCGGGAAATCCCTGGTGACCCACCTGACAAAGCTTTCTGGTACTATGTTGGACACAGAGAAAGTGCCCGCAGTATAGGGCATGTCGAAAGTTATCCCTATCTTCGAAAAGGGTACGCAGACGCTATGTGAAAACCACCGTGGCATCAGCCTGTTAGCTGTAGCATCGAAGGTGCTTCCTGGCCTTATCCCTCGAAGGTTGACTGAACACAGGGAGAGGCAGATCCGTGAAAACCAAGCTGGGTTCCGTCCTGCAAGAAGTTGCATCAATCATATCTTCACCTTCCAACAGATTTTGGAACGGCGACGCTGCTTCCAGCAACCAACAATGGTTGTTCTTCTTGATCTGAAACCTGCCTTTGACTCTGTGGACCGCCAAGCACTATGACAGTGTCTGTGGAACAAAGGTGTACCCCATAAATTCTTGACCCTCATTAAGGCGCTGTACGCCACCTCCCGCGGCCGTGTATAGGTCTACGGGAAGCTCTCGCCTGAGTTCGACACATCAAGTGGTGTCCGTCAGGGATGTCCTCTTTCACCTTTCCTCTCCAACTTCGTCATTGATACGATCAATGAAGACTCACTACCAGCCTGTAATGCTTGGGAGTTCGAAGTGCTCCCTGGGCCTCAGCTCACGGGCATCGAGTACGCAGACGACATAGCTCTCCTGGGATCTAACCCCGTGGTACTGCAAACAATATTAAATAATCTAAATAATTCTGCCTCCAAGTTCGGCATGCGCTTCACACCTGCAAAGTTTAAGGTGCTACTACAATACTGGGTGGGCTCGAACCGTAGCCTCATACTTGCGGATGAACCGATTGAGGTAGTAGGCAAATTTGTTTACCTGGGGAGCTGTATCAGTCCCGGTGGTCTCACGAAAGAGGAAATTTTCATCCGGATTGGAAAGGCCAGAGCAGCTTATGCGAACCTACGTAGTTTACAATGCTGCGGTGCGCTCAATATCACTATATGGATCAGAAGCCAGGCCGCAGCGCGCCGAGAAAGTCAAAAGACTTTCAGTGTCTAACCATTGATGTCTTCGGAGCATTGCCCGAATCTGGTGGGAACACCGAGTCAGCAATTCTGAAGTACGTCGAATGGTATTCGGGAGAAATAACACCCTCGACTGATGAAATGATCACACTGCATAGGTTGCGCTGGCTCGGCCACGTGCTGCGTATGCCAGTCGACTGACTTCCTCGAAGGGCTCTTTTCGCGCAACCACGTGAAGGGTGGAAGGGAGACAGGGGCGGTCAAACAATGACTTGGCAGCGAAGTATAAAAGCCGTTACCAGCAAACTCAGCTGCGCTGGTCATTTCCGTCTTCTTGGATGGGGACCCCGAGACGGGCCATATCAATGGTTAGAGACATTGTGAGACATGGCTCAGTTGCGCCCTCAATGGCGCTTGTGCATCCAAGCTATTGCCTTCAATGCACAGCTCCTTTTCCAACCACCACCCACTTGACAGCCCACAGACAATTTATCCGCTCCCGCCTGCAATGCGCAGCTATTTACCACTCTCCCTCCCGCAAATCATCGGTGAACGAAACTGCGTCAGCCACGGCCACTGTACGCCTATTACGCGGTTATTACAGCTGACACTGATGATGTTGATAGTGCTTATTGCACTGTGGGTTAACGAGGCATCCCTACTCATAACAATGCCACTACCCAGAAAAGTAATTTTGAGAGCGTCCGGCATTCAAAAGAATGTCGAAGCAGATCAGCCAAAGTCTGCTGAAAACTTCAATTCGTTCGGCTCACCAGGGCCAAGCGTCGCCCGGGTTTCTAGGAGAAGGCGGGCCTAATTTACATCCACTGCGATGAACTCGATGTTTGCAATATGATGACCAGAAGTTACATTCGATATATCGATGGTATTTATGGAGGATTCTAAAGAGAAAACTCAACTTCCAATCGACAATCATCGACTTCAGCTGGGACAATAGGCTTCTCGGAATTCCTTTACGATGTCTAGTCCTTCGACTGGGTTAATTGTGGGTTAACTTGTAAAGCACGCACAGGTGCAATTTCAAATTTGCCATCGAGCTGTTTTGAGTAGGTGAAGCTATCCAACTGAAACTGGTTCAGTTCGTATTCTTCTGGTAATCCTGAGGCTATCCTGTATTTTATCCTGAATTTTAGTTCGACCTGTGAACTGTTCTCCGTCCGAAAACTCTTCACTGTTTTCCCTGCTAAGTGGCAATGGAACTCGAATACAGGTTGCGGACTTCAGTTTTGAGGTGGCTATAGAGTTCCACTCCATGTGTTCTCGAGTGGCTCACATATTTGCTTCTTGTTTGAGATACCGGTATTCCAAAAAGCCGTTTAACTATTGGATTACCCCTGTTAGGCAAAATTCCACACCAACAGCTTTACCGCTCACAGTTAGGCACTGCTTCGCCCGGGAAGCATATTTCGCACAAGATTGGTCAAACTTCAAGCGGCTTGCCAGTCCGGTGTCATGGCAGGGCTCTGATTGGCTGAAAGTTTGAACCCAACAGCTAATAGTGACCAAGTATTCGCCAAAAGCCATCTGCCATTGGCACATCCAGAAGGCGCGAGAATCAACAAAATGTTGTAGCGACATAATTTATATAAAAGGCGCTGCGCAAGTGTTTCTGACCTGGCTTTGTGCGTTAATATATGCTGAGGCTATTTTAACGGAAACGCTTGTTTGGGAGGTCCAAACCCAGAATTATTCTGAGGAGAAGACCGCTGTCACCACTGGCTACCAGAAACCTACGATAGCAATGGGGTTTAATAAGCTGCGAGAACCATTGCACCAAAAACAAAACCGGGTACTAGGAGCGCGACTGAAGTTCATTGAATCACTTCCTAACTGAAGCTGCCGGCGCTAGTGAGTGTTCTGTTTCCTCAACTAATGCAGCCACGGGATCAAACTCAGGGCTCAGAGTCAAGCAACTTTCTGGTGATAATTTTAGCTCCTATTTCATGCATTAAGGAGACGTTCAAAATTGATTTTACCAAGCATGATGACGGATGGGAAAAACTCGGATGCGCAAAACTCGACACATCAGAGAATGAACGGCACACAATATTCATTCTCCTCATTCTCAAGTCTAAATAAACTGAACAAACACCATTCCAGATATTCGGAGATCAAACGCCACCATTGAATATACGTTACAAATGCCCCCAGCTGGTCAAATAGATTGTCATGATTTCACCACGTTTGTCATTGTCAACCGGGAATGCAAGTTCTTCAAGCTCAACTCATTGGGGAAGATTCAGTTTTAATGCCTCCTTTTTGCATCTGATGAAGACATCAGCCTGGCTGCTTCACAGAATCGAGTAGGATCCGGAACTGATGTTGCGGACGTTACATCACCGAATACCAACACCTCATCATCTTGAAGCACAACACGGCTCTGATTTGCCAGTCTCTTGCAACTTTAAGCAGTTATGTACAATCAATCGACTCGAACGTCTCACATGAACCCTACAGCAAGCCCAATTGCAAACAGAACAAGCCTTTCAAAAGTTGGTGGTATTGCGGTGGGTGGTATTTCGCTGGTTATCGCCGGTTTATGCTTCATAAATGTTCCATTTGCAGTTATCGCGGCCACAGATTTATGTCGATCTCAGAGGTCGCATTCATCCGCACACTGCCGTGCAGCCCACAAATCGCGGTACAACTCGGCGACGGTAACATTCAAGCTCGACTTTCTTGCCGAACGAAGTTTGCTACTGCTCGTAGCAACAACACCCTGGTTCGTTTGCTGCTGGACTAGGACATCATGCTGCTCAGTGGACTAACAGGCGAACGATTTGGTAAGCCGCATGTAAAACCGACCGAACACTGGGCCTGTAATGCATTTGGTGGTAAAATGAGGTTAACTGGAGAGTTTGACTGCTCCATAAGCAATAATGGCTCGACGGCACAAGCCAAGTGCCACCTGACGTCATGCCCGAAACTTGATCTCTTGTGGCTGGATTGGATCAAAAGCTGAATCTGCTGGATAAGCCAATTACTTCTATCTGCATCCTCGCACAAGCAGCACCCAGAGGTGTCCTGGAACCAAATCACATTGCGAAGAGTTCACTTGAGAACCTCCTACAATATTATGAGCCTATACTGACTGACGAACTTGCACGGTGCACAAAAGCAAGAGCCAGACGATTCTTCCTCCCTGGTGCCCAACCAGTTTTCAGGCCAAAATGCCCATTACAATATGCAGCCCAACCTATTGTTGACCGGGAGCTGAGCCGACTAAAGTTGGCTGGTGTTTTCCAACTGACCAGCCACTCTGTATGGGTCTCACTGATTGTTTTGGTAAAGAAGGATAACGGGACCTTCTTGTTTTGTGTAGCCTTCTCCACAGGTTTCAATGCCGGGTACCCATCAATTCCATCCGCCTCTCCCAAACGATTTGTTCACGAAACCGAATGGGTCAAATATTTCGAAAGGATCGATTTGGCCAGTGCTTGCTTCCAGTTTGAAGTTGAGGAAGAATCTCCTGAACTTTTGGCAAGCGATACGCACCGCGGTCTGTTCCAGTATACTCGACTACTATTCGATGTCTAAACAGCACCATTCATATTTCAACAGATCATGGATGAAATGCTGAAGAATGCCCCATGGCGATGCTGCCTATTTGGATGATCTCATTGCCATGGGCTTCACTCCAAAGAATTGTTGCAGCGACTCGATTACGTGTTTGGTCGTATTCAAGAATATGGCTTTAGAGTGCGCCGAGATAAAATGCACCTTCTTCATGCAGTCTAAAAAGTAACTTGGTGTCATTGTTGGCCAACATGGCCACCGACCAGACCCGGAGAACCTCTACGCCACCAAACGTGTGCCAGCAGCCGCATACATAACATCCCTTGGGACATTCCTCGGTCTCGTCAATCACTAGAGTTCGTTCTTGCCTGCCATGCATCGCCTCCGAAACCCACCAAGCAGGCTACTTACCAGATACCACAGGCGAACACCGTCAAAAGAATGTCAACGCGCCTATGGCTCTGTCAAATTCATGCTGAATTTCGATTCGCCGCTCGCACACCATGATCCATCTCTCAAAATTCCTCTGGCGTCGGATTCTTCGAAATATGAAATTCGAGCAGCGATTTCACACATTTTCTGACAGCCAAAAGCCATTGCACATGCAACCAGATCGCTGACGTCAGCCAAGTCAAATTGCAGCCAGATAAATAGGGAGCTTTCACGAGCGTGTTCGCCGTCAAAACGCTACATAAAATGCTTCACGGCCGTCAGTTTACCATGCCGACAGATCACAAGCGGCTCCTTGCTTTTTGGCTCAAATAGAGGAATCTCGGCACATACTGTCAAACGCCGCCAGAGATGGACCACCATGCTTCTGGAATATGATTCTAAGTTCAAGTACCAGCTCACCGCCAGCCTCGGACAGGCCGACACACTGTCGCGACTAACCGACTCAAGTAGGCCGGAACCAGAAGATACTGTAGTTGCAACAATTGCCTGAAGCCGGAGGTTAACCGCGGAGTATCAGAAGCGGTACGCATTTTCTTAGTGACCGTCGGCACGGTACGCCAGGCCACCGGCCAATACAATGTGGTGCTGCGAGTCAATAAGTACCACCGCAATCAATGGCCGCGTACCCGCTCAAAAGGGACCTTACTTCAGCCAGCGTCACGTACTATCACTAGCCGATGGATGCTTTCCGTTTTCAGA